ACCCCCCCCCCCCCCCCCTTCTCTCCCTGCCACTATATATAGCCATAGCTAACTAACTGCAAGTTGATAGCAACAGGACCTAACTAATAGCTATACTGGATAGCTGTCAAGGGTAGTTACTTCTGTATAAATTATAAACTGTAGAACAGTTACAAACAGTAACAGATATCTAATAGACAGTGAAAATGCTCACCTATGGAAAGATGACCACCAAATGTTACTTTAATGTGTCTGTCCCTCATTACGGCAGTTTAAGCCTATGTAAAGCATCTTTGAGAAATTAAGCTTTTGGAAAATTAGATTCTCACCGATTGAATTGGATTCTGTTACATCTCAGTTAGTTTAGGTTAAATGCTTGAATGAACTCAAGTCTACTGATGGTTTAAAATTTTGGTATGCTTAACCTTTCAAAATTTTACTTTCAATTTTTTGTTGTGTCTATTGGTGTGAACTAAGATGTTATTTGTTGGGAATTACCCCTGTTGAGAAATATGACAAAGCCCAAAAGAAAGAAAGAATGGAGAGAAATTGAGAGAATTCAGGAAATTGGAATCTGATTGTACGAGTAAAGATGCTCTTAATTGAGTTAACATTAGTGTTAATATACTAGAGTAATGGACTATTAACCAACCAGCTACCTACTGTTACGATATAAAGAGAGTAGGGGTGTAAGCAGTACTAAACTCACTCAGGCTCCACATAGGATACCTTCTAGTTGGTTAAATGTCAAGCTCCAATAATAGTGTGACTGTTGCATCAGATCCACGTTTTAGACAGGAAAATGCACTGAGAAACTTCACCACACATCAATCCCTGGCCGAAGGCACTGACAACAATGTAGTCCTTATGTGCTCAAGATCCAACATAGCCAAATCCAAAAGCTCCGCCATAATCTTAGAAGTTGGATGCTTTTAAGAGTTTTAATATTAAGTTGGTTGCTTCTAATGGTCTGTGAACTAAGCTGTCTTTTTATAAAATACTATAATCGAACAAAATCAATCAAATCGTGCAAGCATCCCTATTAGCTGCAATATAAAACTAAATGGTTGAGGCTTATGCAAGCTAGCGATGGTATTTAATTGCCTTTGGAAGTGGAAAATAAAATCCTAATTCCATAATAATGAAATAAAAGAAAATAGGAAAATTATAATAGGTTCTATTTAGCCTCTGCATAACATGTCTTTAATTTCAGATAACTTTTGTGGAAAAAAAAAAAAACTATTTATCGGTATAATTCCTTGTCAGGTTGGTGACTACCCTGAACGAGATCCCTTTGAAGAAGATGAAATATGAGTCTCATGAGCAAGTTTCTTTCAACGTGAAGGGTTTTCCTTATGTAAATCAACCATCTGTTTGGAAAACTTACATTTGTTGCCATTTCAAGGCAGTGGATATGTTAAAAGGGTTTCATTGTGGTTGTTGTATTGTATTTAGAGAAGAAAAGCCGGTGCAATGTGAAAAACATGAATCGGAAGTTCATTGCAATGGTAAAATGAGAACCAACAAAACGGGATACTCCTTCCGAGAACATGCAGACTCGTTTTAGTAAACACGAAACCAAAAGGAATTAATATTATTTTTAAAGTGCATATCATTTTTAGTAGACTTGGTTACTTCGTGTGGCCTTCTCCATTTATGGCCTATATTACTAGAATTATGAAGACTTTTTCTATTGGAATCAGCTGAATAAATAATTAAAGTGCATTTACATACAACTTTAATACTTCTGCTAATAATATGATTAAAAAAAATACAACCTTAATACCAAGTTTGATGAAACTAACTTCTTCAAGTTCACGTATAAAACGTTGTGCCATCAATTTCAACCAACAGTAATGGAAATAGTGTTCGAATTAGTGTGAAAGAGTTCTTATAACCATTATATTTACTATTGAAAATTAAATGTTTTTAGCTCTTGTAAAATGAGTGAGTTATTTTTAGTTTCTATAAAAAAGAATATTTAGTTTTTACTCTAAAATTTAAAATCAATATTTTTTTGTCCTTGTTGTAATGAGCAACTACTTGTATGTCAAATAGAAGGTGATGCGGTCAGTTTTAGTGGTATACAATAATGCATACCGTATTATGCCAGCATCTAACTCCTCAAAATTGTGTCTTAAAATAAATGTTATTTGTATCCTAACATAAAATATTAGAGACAAAATAATTGATTAAATTTTGAAGGGATGAAACTATTTTTTTAATGGGATAAAATCAAATTTTGTTTGTTTTATAGAAATAAAAAAATAACGATTTCAAATTTTAGAATGATGAAAATAATATATATATATATATATTAAGATTCAATGTTAAAATTTATTCATTTGAAAATATATTTATTCCTATAATTATAAAAAATAATTTTTATGCTTAAATGTGTTAAACATTATATAGAGATATTTGTTAAAATCAAAATTGACCTTCAAATTTAGTTAAAGAAAATGTTAATTTAAGGACCCCTTGTATATAGATATTTGTCTGTAAATTTTTATTTTGGAGATTGGGATAACAATAATATTAGAGAAAATTGAATAAAAAAATGTGATACAATTTTTTAAAAAATTGTTAAAACTATAACACTTTTTAATGTTAAAAAAATATCATTTTTAATCAAATTACATTTTTGAATAGTTGTATATAAGAAGCCTAATAATATATTATTTCGCCTTGGTTCATAAAATATTGGGACCACCTGGGTATACTATAGGCTATGTATTCAATTATGATAGTGTATGATCAATTTAGCAATTACAATTTGACGGTATATGTGAGCTTTTAGGAGGGCAATTTAAAGTATTGGTTTGGACCACTGTTCTACGTATCATCGTTCTGATCTGGATCTCTTTTCTATTGTCATGAAAATAAAGTATTGGAAGATCTTCACGTTACGACACAACTCAAAGAAATTTCCATTTAAATTTGGTTAGTCATTAGTCAACAGAGTAACTTGATTGCATGCTGCATTTTATTCTTTTTCTCTGTAGCTGCTGCACAAGTTGGTAATGTACTTTTATGGAGCAATTTCATGGAAACTCACAAAATGCTATAGTTGGTCCTTTATTAATGACTTGTATGACCTATTTCAAGTTTATGCCGCCATGATTCACGAATCCAACACAATGTTGTGTTTTGTGTCCCATGTTTCTCATTAAAATATGCCCAATACCGCACGTTTCGCAGTTGGCAAAATGCTCACGTCTTTTATTAGACTAATAAATGTAAAAATGTGTAGAAAAAAAATATATACACACCCAGTTTAAAAATATATGAACAACTTTGGGTCAGGATTAGATACTGTGGAAGGGATTACTTTTCTCGCTACATAAACAACTAAGATTCAAATTAATTTATGTTAGAAAAAGGTTCACATTTAATGTCTGAATATATCTCAAATACATATTACCAGTAAAAAAAAAAAAAAATTCTATAAATTATAATGTGACAAAAAAAAGAATTTGGCAAGTCTAAGCTTCATTTATAAGAATAGATAAAAGGTAAGGCTTTTGGATTTATCAAAAAAAAATATTATTAAAAAAGTGTTTAAGATGTAACTTTTTTTATTTTAAACAAAAACTTTGTTCTTATAGCCTTTGGGTTAAATAAATTTGAAATTAATTAATTAAATTTGATGGGTTAGAATAGAAAAGAAAGACACAATTTAGAAACTTTTGGCATAGAAAATTAGGATTATAATGTCTGCGTATGATTTTATTAGATTCAATGTTATTCACGGCACCCCAAAGAATGCTATACGATATACTTGGCATGCCCATGATATGTAGTTTCTCTCCATATATAGTCAGATAAATTGGATCTTGACCAGACCAATTGACTTGCTTGCCGCCCTCATGTTTCACCTTCTTAGAATATGTATGCATGCATCCTTCATCACATTCTATCCACTATATATATATATACAACACATGAATTAAATACTATAACCCTCTTTTGTTATTTCTTAATCAATCAATGGAGAAAGTGTTGTTCCCTATCTCATCTTCATCATCTGATTTAAAACTTGGTGATCATATCCATAATTCTAATGTTCATGTCAAGAAGGCTTCATGGCCAAGCCAGAAAGGTGGTAAAGAAATCAGTCACAAATATGCATTTCAAACAAGGAGTCAGGTTGACATACTGGATGATGGGTACCGCTGGAGAAAGTATGGGGAAAAGTCTGTCAAAAACAATAAATTTCCTAGGTTTGATTGTCTTACTTCATTACTGCTTTTTAATTCATTGCCTATTTGTAGTATTATTAACTGTTACAAAGTATTAAGTTCTTGGAATAAATTTTTCATAAATACTTTTAAGAGTAGAAAAAAAAATATATCTCTTAAGTTAAAAAGATTAAGAGGGAATGCTATCTATATCTCTCTGGCATTCTCTTTTTAACATTTTTTATATCATTGAAATTTATTGAAAATTGTAAATATTATGAGCCTCACTTCTCATTTAACATATCTCTCTCATAATTTAGTGATAAGACTGACAAAAATTTATGAATTTTAACTCATAATAAAAAAGTGTTAATTAGTAAGACGATATTTTAGAGTGAGTGTTGCAAACATTTCTTAGTTAGCAATTAACTAGCCACGGTATTAGAGTGAGTGTTGCAAATATTTTTTAGTTAGCAATTAGCTAGCCTGAATCCTGATCTTTAATAGTTAACTTTAGTTGCAATTTGTTTTGGTGCTTTCAGAAGTTACTACAGATGTTCTTATAGAGGTTGCACTGTGAAGAAACAAATCCAACGGCATTGGAAAGACCAAGAGATTGTGGTAACAACCTATGAAGGGATACATATTCATCCTGTTGAGAAGTCACCTGAAAGCTTTGAGCAGATTCTGAGAAACTTTCAAATATACCATTTAAGTCTATAATTAATATTGTAACTTAAATGTTAGAATAGGGTGACATGGGATAGATAGAACCTAATGTTATCTGAAAGATCTAGTTCATTAATTGTAGTGGATATAAACAACATTTCAATTTATTGTCAATTTGAAGTTGTGATTTAACAATCGAGCTAGTATTTATCTTTATATTCCAAAATATATATATAGAGGGGATCCGTTCATTTTAGAAGTAAATCACTTATTATATTTAATAATTTATGTTTTATATCAAATTTTAATAATTTAATCATTAAATTTAAAATTTTTAATACATAAATTAAAGTTTATATATTTTTAAAAATTAAAAATTATTTGATATTTTATTTCATTAATTTAAATTAATGTGTAAATTTTTTTTATAATTATTCATCAATTTAAATTAATAAAAAAAATATTAAATAATTTTTAATTTTTTAAAAAATTATAAACTTAATCTATATATTAAGAACTTTAAATTTAAACCTTGAATCGTTAAAATTTAATATAAAATATGAGTTATTAAACGGAATAAATAAGTAGATTTATTCATAGAATAAATACATTCTCTTATATATATATATATTTCGCTCCTTTAAAGAAAGAGTTTAAAGAGAAAAAGTAAGAATATCTATTATAATGATTATTTTTTTAACATATATTTGTATGTAAATTTTTTTTCTCTCGAAGATATCATTATCATAGGTAACTAGGTATTGTCCCATAAAAAATATAAGCACATTTATACTTTTATAAGAACTAACAACTGATTATAAAAAGATAATTCTTCTAAACATATTATAAATATTGTGTTATTAAATATGACTTGTGCATGAATGTCTCTATAATATATATATATATATATATATATATATATATATATATATA